GGAATGCCACCGTCTGAAGGATTAATACATTATTAATTGGTAAAAAAGCAGTCACAAATCAATGCTGGTCCTTGAGTTTCAGTGGGACAGAAGTAAGTTCCTTCATCCTGAAACCATACCAATCCGGTCAGCCTACAATTTAGCAGTGGTTTGAAGTGGAAGTTTTTTCTTCAATGCTCTTCTAGAACCTCTCCCGGGTGATCTGGCTCTTCGGCAGTAAGCGCTACCTACTCTGCCAGTCTGACAGTCCCTTAGCTCACATAATGCCCTGGCCTTGCTCCCAGTGGTTGACACAAAAGGCAGGTCTGAAAACTTGAGAGACGGGAAGGGTTGTGTCATCCTCACTAAGCGAGTCCAATACGCACTCACAAGTGAAGTTAATGCAATCTTTATGCCTGATGTTGCCTGACTCAGTGTCAGGTCCCTTTGCCTTTGGCTCAGTGCCGGCACAGTTAGTGCAAAGGCTACTAACAGAAAGGAAACCTGAATCTCAAATCTTGCTATCCATACTGGTAGCCGTGGGACTGTTTCAGAGGGATTCCCAGCTGAAAAACCAAAGGAACAGACCATGGTCACAGCTGTACTACAACTGATGCCTTCTGTTTTGCACTTTCAAAAATGCCTTTTCAAGAAATAAACATTGTTTTCATGGACCGTTACAAAAGAAGCAATTTGAACTCTGTCCTTCACCTAAAACTGAAGGGAAGGAACAGCAACCACAACACTCCAGAGACATATCCCTTCTGAACAAGGAAGTGCATACACTGTGCCTTGTAACCTAACGGTCTCAGACTACAGCTTTTTAATAGCTTTATATGGACTCAAAGTGGTGACCGCCCCTATCCACACAGCCTATCACTTCATTTTTTTCAGAACTAGGGCTTATTATGTACTGACAGAACACAAATGGGATCCAGTAATTTCTTAAAGTTAGCTATTGCTGATCTGCTTTGCTAATATGGTGTGCTGTCATATAATGCCTTCCTTATATTTATAGAAGTAATTGAGTACATTCTACCCTCTAGTTACTTGGGTGACCAGTGCTCAGAAATGTTCTTTAACAGTATGCTGAATTCTTCATGTTTGTGTCTCAGCTACTTTTTGCTATGAGCAATCCATGTATTCAAGCTTTCCCATTTATGCTGTTTTCGGTCTTTTCCATATTCTTTATGACTGTCAGAAAAAGGATAGTCACTGAGCACACACTACTGACCACACTAAAATCAGGAATCAGTTGTTCAGCTCTAAGTGTAATGTGACATCTCCTTCTAAAATAGCATGAAGATTTTCTTTCATGAACATTTCTGGGCTCTTTTTTTGGTCCACAGCATATTTCAAGAAAAGCCTGCCCGAGGAAACAAACTAAAACTAACAACAGAAAAACAGCCACGGAAACTTATTGGAAGGCATTAAAAATTAAATAGCTTTTTAAAGAGCTCGCAGACTTAATAGCAAAACCTATTAAAATCGTCTATACTGATTTAATTTGTAACAATTCCATTTTAGACAACTTTGCTTGGTTGTTGGTTACGAGTTCAAAGTGAAAATGACATTTTTCTCCTCACTACTAATACCCATATGCTTCTCCCATCTCCAGCACTTGGCAGGGGGGTGGGGAGAAGATGACCACTACTGTTTCAAGTGGTGATCATAAGATCCAGACAAATTCAGACTGCAGGAGAAGCATGCTCCAAAACGAAAGAGCCCTCATACAGAACTCTTTCAGCAGACACTGCCTCGGCGACCGAATCAACTGCCTCTAAGCACAAGAGCCTTGATGACATCTCAGATAAAGAGATACATCTTAAGATGCTCAATGTCAAATGGGCAACTTCAGTGAGTTTCAGATGCTACCCAAAAAATCAACACAATAAGCGTAACTGGAGCATGCTTATGGGAAGATACTCAATCTTCACCTCACATTCCCCAAATCATTCTCTACGTTTCCTCACTAGTTTTTCATTTCCAAACAGGTTTGAAAGCATGATGCAGCAGCTTTTAAGTGAAAGCAGAAAACTATGAGAATGGAAATTTACTTTCACAGTATATTATGGAACATATACAAACATCTTCACACAAACGAGCTGAAGTTCTAAGTTTCACATGTGTAATGCCACTAAGTCAATGAAGTCAACACACGTGAAACAAAAGTGAGCAAGTACTCACTAAAGACAACATTTACACCCTTGCACTTTTGAGTCTTTCGTCAACAATAAGAGCCCACATATTGTAATACATTTTTGTTTCTGAAAATCCAGTGATGAACAACTAGATTTTGCGACAACATACCTTGAAGTTGCAATTTCCACTTTGGTTCTTGCCATGGCAGCTGCTCGCTGTGCACCCTCTATTGCTCTATCCACCTTTTCTCGAGTTTTTGTGTTTCGTATTGGTATAAGTTGCTTTCTTATTCCACGGACCAAAACATTATTTTTATATTTTCCCTCTTCTTTGGTGCCATCTGGAAACATGGTACATCCATATCCGTGCCTCCTGTTATTTAGCCACTCTCCTTCGTATTTCATACCATTTGAACGCTCACTAACACCAAAACCACTGCGCTTGTCATTCTTCCATTCACCCATATAGGCTTCTGTAGTGGTGGCATCAACATGGTCTTCCACAGGGCAATAATCACAGTCACCATCACCAAAACTAATTGTAGAATTGGCATCGCTAGAACTAATCCTGCTCATAGCAGCATCACTCCTGACGGAGCTCCGTTTGCTAGATATCGATGACCTAGATTCAGATTTTCTGAGTTTTATACCACCAAGAAGGGATCCTCTTCTGAACAAGCCTCCTTTTTTCTTAATGCCCATGGCTTCTGGATCACTGTGAAAATTGAGCACAAAACCTCCTCTTGTTCCAGCCGGACTGTCTGAAGTGACATCATGCAGAACAGTGCCATTACTCTGCTCACTTCGAAGCGAAGCGAGAGAGGTTCGGAGGGGTGAACGGATCACAGTTGCCATGCCATAGGGTACACTCTGACGTACACCATAGCCATGTCGCATCCCTCCTGTCCATTGCCCCTGGTAGGTACCTTTTAAAGTAATAAAGGAGAAATTAAATTCAGGAAGCCATAGAAACACTAGCACTCTACATCCAGCATCCTACAGGCAATGCTGTGTTGTCAGCTCTGGTTTTGGCAAGAAGAAATGCAGAAAAATCACAGCACAGGACACAGTAGTTAAATGACTTCTGTTACTTGTTTTTCTTATCAATTATTTTTCCGCTTAAGAAATCCTTCACTTTCCCAGCTGAAGTAATTTATTTTGGCAACTAAGACACAGTAGCTATAATCATAAGCGGTTTTTGAATGGATCTGTCCCTGGAAAAAATTTCAAGAGAAATTTCTAAAGCAGGACTCCTTCAATATCTTTTTAAGTTGGTCAGATGGCGAAGTGGTCAGCAGAAGCAGAGCCACATTACATACAGTCAGCTGAGGAGGGAGATGGGGATGGAAGGAAGGGAGGGAGCAGGACACTCATGGCTCTTGCCTCCAGCTGCTCACCAAAAGAGTAAGTAGGAGCAGTAAACACCCTATTATCCTGGGTTCAGGATGACTACAGCTCTCTCCTTGTCAGGACATTTTGTCTTGCCTTCAGATGGGCCTTTGGATTCACTGTTATAAACCTCTATTGCAAAACTGAATATTTTAATGTTTTTGCATGTACTCAAATGGAAGAACAAAACCTTGGTATATCTGAATCTTTGTGAACTCTTGATATCAACACTTTTTGGTATCCTCAGTATCGTAAACACAGCACTGCATTCTGTAGTGACAGAAAGATCAGAAACACGAATCCTTTACCATTTTTTTTACCTTTCGATTGTTCTGCAGTACCTAAGAAAGACAAGGCAGTAACAAGCAGAACACTGCACACCATTCCCTCATAAACACATTTCATTGTTGCAATCATAACTACTTTGTATTTTTTTTTTAAACAGCAACATAAGGAAGAGCAATATGGTATTTGACAGGAGAGGTCACGGATATCCATGCAAAGCTGCGTCTGAGCCAAACCCCAGCATTATCAGATTACTACTGCAGACAATTTTTTTCTTGTATTCTTGAAAGGCATTTTCATTTTGACGAGATGCATACTCCAGTGTCTGATCTCTGAAAGCCCTTCGTACCAGATGTTCTAAAGGAAGGTGCCAGGAGCCCCACAACTGGCAAATATAAGATAATTTGCTTTCTAAGATCATTTCATTCTAATTCCCATTAAATTGCTTTAAGCTCCTCAAAATGAAGCCTCTCGCCCACCTAGCGCTGCTTTTTTTTTTTTTTTTTTAAAAAAAAAAGCTATTTTGAGTCTGAATATCCTTACAGGATGAATAAGCAATCTCTAAAATATCTTCCTTTGATTTTGATCTGCTTTAATTGGACCACCTATTAAAAATGACTCTTCAGAGAACTAAATATCAAATGTCAAATTCAGTGACTGACTAAATTTTTGTAAAAATATTCGTGAAATACCTGCAGCTTTAGATGTGGCTCAAAGTTTCATTTGCTTTGAGATTCTATCTCCTTTGTATAAGCATACTGTTTTGGTCGTGTACATGTCAATTATCTATTAATTACTGCTTGACTGTATTACCTCTTCCACTAAGTTATATTTCAATGTTAACATGCAATTAAATTTGCCAAATCTGCTTTCTTTGTTATATAATACTAGACAGGTTCCACAACATACAATTTTGTGTTGGTAGAAAATTCTACCAAGTGGAAGGTTTTTGTTTTAACAGATGGCTGCTGACACAAACAAACAACTTTCCTAGATTCTTTTTGATTCTCTGTATCCTGGATACCTACTGCTGCACTGGTGGTAAGAGTGCTGAATCTAGAAACACGATTATTTTAAAAAACACAGCATATGGAGAAGAACAAATAGAAACACGAGCATAAAGCACTGGTATGACGTATTCTGTAAATACTGTAAAAATACAGCCAAATTGTAATTTTTTTTCTTTATTAAACAGATATTTCCCAGAAATATATTAATATTTTATGAGCATAAATGACTACATTTTATCCATAATTATATCTGGGATCCCCCTAGCACCATAATGATATGCTGGAGCTAAGAATCTGGCTACGTATACTTACTGCTACATACAACAATCTGGCTAATGTTCTGTACCAGTTAATTTCATTTCAAAATAATAAATCTAATTCTAATTTTGATTATACCACAATATTACATTAGAGCAGCAACTCACAATTATGGCTCTCCATGTTGCTATTTGAGTGTCAGACTCGAAGCAGAATCAACTTACTTCAGTATGGAATTTTATAAAAGTACAAAAGGTCAGGTTTTTTCTTGCAAATATTTTGTTTTAATTAATAAACACGAAAAGCTCAAAAATATTTGATTCATTTAGGTCCTGTATTTTTCACTACAACGTAGAAAGAAGTGGAAGTGGTCATTGTTGTCCATAAGGGCACTAAAACAAGGACAACTGATGTGCTATTTACTTGTTCGATTTTTCTTTCTACTGGGGAAATAAAATCAATGCCAGCTTCTTCTAAAGAGAAACCAGTCAGTGAGAAAATGGAAGACTCATACTGAACTGGTCCTTGGAAAGTACCAAAGATACTTAGTTGGAATTTTGAGCAGTCTTGCAGGTAGCAACTATCTCTTCTATCATTACGAATCTATTAAGGGAAAGACTTCTAATACTAGTGCTAGAAAGCTGGCTCAGTTTTCTTGATTTTTTTTTAACTTAAAGGAAAAATATTTTAGTGGCATATGAATGCAAGTGTCCACAGTGCAAATGCAAGAGACTTGTACAGTAATTTGCTTGACGGTATCAGACTATAACTGCACCCTCTTCTTCGACAGAAGACATTTTAGAAAACTTTAACCGAACAAGATAAGGTATGTTAATATTGTAATATAATTAAATACTACATCATATGATATGACACAATAAAAAAAAGATTTTCCTATATGTGAAGACACAAACATACGCAGTATTTACCTGTCTCTCTATACAGATATAAATACAAATGACAGAATCAACAAGCACACTTTTTCCCCTTTCATCTTATACTACAAATGACTGTTTAAAGCAGTTCCAGTAAGGATCAACTGTTAAAATTTTAATTAACACCGTCATTTCCAAGCTAATTTAAAATTGTATTTGACCATAAAAGAGTAATGTCATTCATCTTTATTTTCCAAAAGCTAGGCTTGGTATCCTTTGTAACTGAAGAAGCATTCAGCCACGACTTCTACTGACCATCCACCTGGTGTTTGGTTTCCCTGAAAAGGTGTCTGTATTTTGAGCCCAAGAACTATTAGAAAGTACATTTTTTCTTTTGTTTTCCTTGGCAACTTGCTGTAAGGTATACTTTCGTAACTGTCTCCTTAGAGTTACATTGTGCCATCCCTCCTGAAAAACCCTCAGTGTATCTTACAGCTGTAAATGTCATTGCCTGCTTGTGGCTAAAATTTAAAACTAGGCTGTGTGAAAAAGCTGAGAGGCCACAGATCTATTAACTACTCCACTTGCTCTTATCCTGTACTTACATCTTCTGTAGTTTAGCGAATTTGTTGTTACATCAAGACTTTTGCATGCTTTTCAGACTCAAATGTTAGATAAGCGCGCAGCTAGAAGAGACTACTTAGAATCAATGAACATAGGTACAACTGTCGACCTTTGCTTAAGGATTCATTTGCCACTGCCTGACCTCTGCAGAACAACAACGCACAATCTTACAGCAAGACACTTGTTATTGCTGTTGTTGGCAGGATCATCAACTGCTGACCAATTTACACATACTGAAGTGTCAAAATTAGGCCTTATTTCCTCTATAAAAAATGCTCAGGTAGACTCGCAGGTTCACACCGATTCAACAAAATCTAGGGAGTTTAAAGGAGGCCCAGAAGACCAGACTGCCGTAGGGAACAACCTGATGGGCCACTTGAAGGCCCAGCATAAGCACATGCAATGAATGGAAGATCATGGTTTATAAATTACAGTGTTTTCCTCGGAGATTTGACTGAGTGACAACGTTAAGCATATAAACACAGCAGGGCATATATTACTCATGTTGTGCAAAGTGTTGTGTGCAGAAACACCGAGGAACACTGTCAATGCTCATGTTCCTTTTCCCCTCCTTCAACTACATCTCCTGTTACCACCAATGCATTTTAAAACAACCTTTGGGGGGATGAGAAAAAAAAAATTGCAGCAAAGAGGCCTGGATTTTAGTGAGTTTGAAAACAAATTGGCAATTGGCATAGCCTAAACAGTTGTTTTGCTCTGCTAGTCCTCTCAGGCCATAATAAAGGAAGATCTTTCCTGCAAATATTTCACAGTGTGTTAAAGACACATATGTAAATCTGGTTTCCTTGTAAAAACATTTCAGACATTCTGCCAGTGTACAAACACGGCTATTGTTCCCAGAGCACGAAAACAAAAACACATCTGCAAACATCAATGACGCATTTGCTTTGCTTCATTCATGAGCACTTTCATTAAAATCAATGGGACTTCACACCCTCTGCTCGTATGAACTGAAACACGTAAAAGACTGGGGTGATGGTAATAGATTTCAGTTAACGGGGCTAAAAATCTCACAGTGTAAGCTGCACGCTTCATATGCTGTTTTGGACACAGAATTTCCTGCGGGGTCCAAGTCTAAAAATTTAGAGAATTTAGCTCCTATTATCAATATTCTATTGAGATATTAAAAATTCCACAAGAAGCCCAAAGAAAAAAGATAAAAGGAACTTTAGTTTGAGAAAACCCCTCCTAGAAAATTTACTGGAATGGCAACTTACTTCTCAGGAAAGGGGGAAAAAAAAATAAAAAATAATAATAAAAAAAAAAAGATGGCCACTGCAAATTCAGCTGTTCTTCAACTTCTAATTTACTAGCCAAAACAAATATCATAAAAATTGAAAAGTCTGTTGTGTGGTGAAAGTGAAACTAAAATTCCGATCTCTTCCATGTTTTGTTTTGGGTTTTTTGTTGTTGTTGTTTCGGTTTTTTTAAATCCCCAAATACACATTTCAGCTGACTT